ATCTCTTTTAGAATAGGATCATATATTATTAGTTCTGCAAAATTGTTGGTTCATTTTCATTGTTTATGTAAATAATGATCAGGTTTTATATAAATTAATGCGACTTTAGTAAGAAATTTTGTTTTAGTAGATTTAAATAACGGTAAATATTTTCAACTAACAATTATGGATTCAATTGCTTTTAAAAATTTCATTTTTATTTCGCAATTTATCGTATCCTTGAAGCGATTATTGAGATAAAATTGAGCAATAATAAGGTCGATATGGAGTTTAATAAAGACTAATAATATTTATCGGTTTGTTGCTGCAACCTTCACGTCGTACCGAAAAGTGCCTTTTCTGCACCTCTTGTCCCTATTTTTCGTCGGATAATTGATCAACTGAGAATAAAAAAATCGCGATGGCCGTGAATTGACGTAAAAATTCATTTTAGTTCTGTAATTTTTTATGAAACGACATCGCTCCATCGATTACGAAGCTGTCATGTAATTTTTGGGAAATTCATTTCTCCTTGTGTAATTGGTCGGTACGTGCATTTAACTGGGCAGTCAATGGCGAATGAATAAAAAAAAACCATGGCAACAGCCTTGAAGTTTACTACTTCGTTTCCTCACAAACAAAAAGGCTCTATTTGGCAATCACTGAACGTTATATCACTGATAAAGAATATTGTTCAACCCATTTGCAATTGAATTAACCTCGTATGACTGCTGCCACTGCACTGGAAAACATTATTATTATTATTTTATTCGTCTTTGATGTTACAAAAGTTTTTTTCTGTTTTACATCGTTGCACTGGAAAATAAATTCCCTTAATTGTCTCCGAGTATTTCGTAAAACAGTACTTTAAAAAAGATTGAAATTCAAAAATCAAAATTTCCATAAACTGTCCAAAACTCGAGATATATTTAATTTCTAAATAAATCAAAATGGTCAATTGTTAATAATATCGACTTACTCGAGAACTGTCTAATTACTGATATTGACTCGACAATAAAAATAATTTTGAAATTGGAATTCAAATCAATTTTAGCAATTGTATAGATATAATTTGCTTGAAAAATTCGGTAAAATTGGAATCCCTTGAGGAGTCGCGATTAAATTTCGAAACCTCTCAGCCAATGCTGTCGTGCCATGACTACGGCGGCAATTTCGAAATCACTTTATTACCATAAACTCATTGGTTGAGGACGTCCTGACATGCGCAGTGCTCCAAATGTGCCTGAATACATTCTTTTGAGCCACAACCTAACTTTTAAAATATTCTAGGTTAAAATCCCAATTAGAAAGATAAATCAATAGATTTTGAGGTATTAGGAAAACAGAATTTGAAAAAGTTGCTATATCTCAGGAACTACTGGACCGATCGTTCTGAAACAGTGCATCAGAGAAGAAGATTAATCATACCTATAGGTTAAAAGTTCGGATTTTTTGCGACAAATTTCCTTGTATTTATGTTGAATTTTCCAAAAATTAATCTTCAAAATTTCGAATTTTCCAGCACATACACACAGACATGATCTAAAAACCCAATTTTTTCTCGCTTCATAAAATTCTAAAAAACTCGCCAGTGAAATTAGAGAATCGAAGAACCGGTCAAATACAAGGCCTCCATTCGGAACTAAAAGGCCCTAAAAACACCTCAAGCCAAGAATATTGTATCCTTTCTTCGATTCCCACCAATAATCACTGAAATTAATTCTATTCATTATTTAAAATACTGAGCAGAAAGATATGCAGTAAATTTTTTCTTCCCCCATTTCAATCACCAGATACTCAGCAATACGATGAAAACCAGAAATGCATTCGCTTATCTCCATCCCGGACTGCTGGGTTAGAGGAAGACTAATCAACACTGGTTTGACATGGAAACTAATTTTTTTTTGGGGGGAAAATTATCGATCTGAGTACATACGCCCCTGCATGTGTCTCGGTGTTATATACATATGGAAACCCTAATCGCACGCCCCCACTGGTTGTAGAAGCATCCCCTCGGCTTTTCGCTCCCTCAACGGCTCACAAATTTTTCAGCTGATAAGGGGATACAGTTGTCCCCATTGGATGCACCACCAGAGGCTTGATACCCTGAACTCCCTCGCACGTCCCTGAAACTGAAATTTCAATGAAAAAACGACAATCCTACAAAATCAGGTGAAAAATTAAATGGTAAATTCAATAAAAATTCACCATCTCTTAACCTTCTTATTTATTTTTATCTCTTATCATTCGTCTTTACATTAGGCAACTCCTCATATGGAAATAAATTGTAAAAATGTTTATAATACACGCAAATTCGATATATTATTGCAATATATAGGGGAGAGACGGGCGAAATGGGACGCAGGATAAAATGGAATGTGGGCAAAACGGGATGAATCAGGAGATCCAATGAGAAACGAGGGGAAAAAACCGATCGTAAGAATTAATTATTCAACATTTCAGGTTTTCCATAATTTTATTGCATTTAACTAATAAAAAAATGGTGAATT